TTGGTGTATTCGATTTTAACATGTATATAAGCACCACAGTAAAGTTTACTTGGCTGATTTTATAACTTTGTCTCCTTTGTCAGAGATATTCATGTCCTAGTTGTAAAACTTGAATAAGATATCACTAGCAGTTCTATCTCTAACTGTGGCTCTCTAAAACAAGAAGAATCAAAAACTGTTTCAGTCACCAGCAGAAACATCCTGGGCATTTCTCTGCATCAGGTTGGGAGAGATGAATGCAAAGATGGAAACAAATCTACAAGGCCCATTCATTCACCTACTCTTGCAATTTTGAATTTGCTTCCCAAGTAATCTGTGATACAAATTACACTGGAAAATGTCTTTCCTTTGGAGGACAGAAACAGAAGTTGAACTAATTCCTAATTCTTATCTGTGTTACGCTCCATGCATTATCTACTCTTCACACCAGCTCAACTAACAAAATCTCACACGTTCTGCCAGTTTATTCATTCTTTATTACTTATGAGAAAGACAAGAGAGCATGGCGAGAATCCAAAACTGAAATCTCAGGATGTTTATTCAATGTAACCCCATAATTTTAGTGGGAACACACAAACAACTTGTCGGGCCCGCTGGATGTCAATTCCAAAGTGTATAAAACATACCCTATGAAACGTTTTACTGTTTTGACTCAGTTGCAAAATATACAGATTTATTTAAGGGGATTAAAGAAATGCCACAGATAAGTCTGTGACTCAGAGTAAATCCCTGTGATTGTTAAACTTAAGAAAACTGCCGAAAAATATTTACCTTTCATGAAAGAGCTTAAGAAAAATATACACAACATCGAAAAGAAAAGAAGAGAAGAGGGATTAGGAAGAAGTTCCTATGTCCCGGGACCTGTATTCACAAGTGCACTTTACATACTTCTTTTCCCTAGCCTCCAGCTTGGAACAGTGGTCTAATCCAATTCAATTCAGTTCTAACAAAAACAAAATGAAACTACATGCCAGGAGGAAATCCACCACTATGGGATGTATAGTGTAGATTCAAGTTTTCCATTGTAACTCCTGAAATCACTTTTCCAGGTGGCTGCTTTTATGGATACATTTTTCCTTTAATGCTTTCCTAAACTTGATGTCTATACACTAAACGAACTGAGTGATGCATCCTGGGGGTTGGGGGGTACTGGCACGTGTTGGGGAGTCACCCAGTTCTGCAATCCCATTCGTCGGACCTTGTTTCATTAACACGGTGGGTCCACTACATTTTTGACCTCGCTATTCTCCCACCTATGAATGGCGGAAGTCCTGATCTTCTACAAAGTCTGCAGCTGCCAGAGCCTTTGATATTTCTGGAAAAAGGCTGTGGATTCAAAGGTTCCTCTCTCCCACTGCCTTTTAATACCTTATTCCCAATGTAGAAAGAGTCATATATCCTCTAAAGAACTAGAGAAAAACTTCCATTATACTCACTAGCAGATGTATGAACAAAGAGACCTTCAAACAGCAGAGAAAAGCAAACCAAACTGTTCCAAACTACTGCATCGAAGACCTTTACGGGGTAAGGAGGCCACCTGATCACTGAGGTTCATGCCTTTCCAAGCTGGACTTTTGGGGACCATGAACCTTGTGTTGACTTGACTATATATGCACACTGACCATAAATGCACGCTCACTCGTTCCTGCGTATTTCAACACTGTAAATACTCTCTAACACAAAACTTCTGGCTAGGTGAGCCAGCCATTTCAAACCATGAAGCCCCTGTCCCACCTTAAAGAGATAGGTGGTCTGCCCCATTCTTTCCTGGAAGTAGTGGCCTGGCCTCCCTCGGATTCCTGACCCACTGCTCTCTCTAAGTCACGCCGGTCTCCAGTTTCTGAGAGCCAACCACCAGAGTTGGGTTTGCTTATGTGTGTAAAATTATTTCCTGTCTCTTAATTCAGAAGGCATGAAGAGTGTAATTAGCATCCATTAAAGGGCTAATAAGCTGTTGGAGCAAACTCTTAATTGAATTTTACTTAGAAAGCTAATAAGTACTGCTAAGGAAAGCCGTAAGGAGCTTTCAGTGAAGAGATGATGTGAGCACCACAAATAATCTATTGCTCCCAGATCTCTAGCTTAATGCCGGTGCCCAGCATCAGTGTCCCTCTCAGAAGCGGAGATGCCCGGATGATGCCTCTCGACAGTCATATAAATGAAGTCAGAGCAGGCTTCGGCCTCGGCTATGGGGCTGTGGACAAGCCCGAGCCTGCATTTCCCAGCGCTTGTTTTTGTTTAGCAGATTTAACAGTTTCCACCTCTGTGTAGAAATGAAAATAAATCTGCACATTTCCAAGAAAAGCAAAAGAAATGAGCTTCTAATCTCAAACCTACTAAATCAAAGTGAACACAGGAGCCACACACAGGTCAACGGCTCAACAGGGCAGTGGCCAGCCTGGAGCTGCCCACCCGGGGCCCAGCACCTGGGGCAGCGGAAATGACACGGCTGCAGTATTTTGAGAGGTTCCTGGAATCCAAACACAGGTCAGAATTTTCCCCTTTCCTTTTGTTTTTGGGAGAGAAGTAGTTATTCTCCTAGGGACTGGGGAGAGTTATTTTCTCCTACTGTGCTATCCAAACAGAGTCTGGGCTTTCCACGTCTGGCCTGAAGTCAGTCTAGTGAAAAGCCCTTTCGTGTTATTAGTTTGAAGCCAAGAGTGGAGCAAAGTCAATGCTAGGAAATGGGAAAAGTATGGGGCCCAAGGGACAGATGGACGAAAAAACAAAAACGTCCATTATTTGGCGATTGGCACTGAGCTCTATCTGGAGCAGAAGACTGCAGGCAGGTAGTGAAGTTAATGGAAGAACAAAGACAGCTTGAGACGGACCTTGTCGTATTAAACTTAATGACTGTGATTACAAGGATAATAGCAGTTCTCCGTGGCTTAGAATGTGATACAAATCTTTAACCGTGTGGAGTTTCTAAAAGGCATCTAAGCCTAGTCAGCAACTCCAAATGAACCAGGAAATTTGCTACTGTGCATCATGAAAACAATATTACGGAGCAAGATAAAATATTCTGTGACCCCTTGATCTTACACAAGGAAGCACTGCTCAGCTTCCCCTGATTTATTCCAAAAAGCTCAAATTTCTTGACATCAGCCAGGGAGACATTTTGAACATGACTATCTGGGAGATGGCCAGGATGAACTAACTTGTAAGAAATCTAGGTTGTAGAATTTACAAAATAAATAAAGTTGCATAGAAAATGTCGGCAAATGAACGTACTTAGGGGTTATTTTAACGAACAGATAAAAATGATTTGTGATTAGCATAGCTGTTTGCAGTAACCAACTCACATAGCATATACATCAGAAATGATTAGTCATATTATTCATTCCTTATATGGTTACTGTGAAGACAGAAAGTTCATGAGTTGAGAGTTTTATAAGTCAAATCTATTTCTTTTTCTTTAAAAAAAATATTTATTTATTTATGGCCCTCCCTCGTAGCACACGGGCTGAAGCATAGCACTGCGAGGCTGGCCGTGCCACTTCGGTGCAAGTTCGATCCCCGCCCTGGAAGTGACCCACATGGCGCAGCAGACCTCTCCTGTCTCCCCGCTGCTCCCTTCATCAGTGTGCTTCATCATTCTGCCTGTTCTGCTCCCCACTCTGACTCTGGTGGGTTCTCTCACCACCTTTTTTTTTTTTTTTAAAGATTCATTTATTTATACAGAACTGGGGTACAGGCCAGAGATGTGGAGGGTGAGAGGATTCCCCAGAGCCAGAGTGGGGAGCAGAACAGGCAGATTGATGAAGTACACTGCTGAGGGGAGCAGCGGGTGGGTCAGGAGAGGTCTGCCACGCCATGTGGATCTCCTCCGGGGCAGGCGGGGATCGAACTCATGAGGAAGTGGCTTAATCTTAGTGCAGTGCTTTAGCCCGCTGCGCCACCAGGGAGTGCCACCTTTTTTTTTTAAACATTTATTTATTTATGGATACAGAACTGGGGTACAGGCCAGAGATGCAGGGGTGGTGAGAGGATTCACCAGAGGCAATGGGGAGCAGAACAGGCAGGTCTAATGAAATACACTGCTGAGGGGAGCAGCAGGTGAGACAGGAGAGATCTGCTGTGCCCTGTGGTCACCTCCCTGGCTGGGGATCAAACTCATGCCGAAGTGGCTGTGGCTGGCTTCATAGTGCTGCGCTTTTAGCCCACAGTGCCACCAGGTAGGGCCCCAAGTCAAATCTATTTCTAATGCTTGATAAGAAATTGGGATTTCTGCCTCCAAAAAGGTCATTGTAGTTTTCAAGTTTATTTAAAACTACCTAAGCTTTCCTGGACTTTCTTAAGACTAAGTCAACCACCATTTTAGGATTATTCATTTTTTCTTTGGCAGAATACATATCAACCAGTATTACAATTCCTAGATTAGCTGCCTGTGTTTCTTACTAGACTGTGAACTCTGTGAGGGCCAGAACTGTATTTACACACTGTCATAGTAACATGCTTTAATATGCATATAAGATCATTCATATTCATATAGACATATATATCTGTGTGTATGTATGTATGTGTGTGTATATATATATGCATCTAATATATAATCTGCATTCATCAGCAAATGTAATAAATTATTTTGGGAATGAATCCTCTCCCACTAGATATTCAGTTCCATGTCTACATGTTTGCCATTTGTCTAATTAATCACCCCACTATAATCACTTCCTAATTATTAATCACCTAATATATTATGAGTTGAAAAAATGCCCACAGCCCAACAGAATACTGACAAACTCAAATCATTTGCTAAACTAATGAATCCACTTTCTAGAGTAGACACAGTTTTCTGCTTCCCAGAGCTCATCAAGCTTCCTGGTAAGAATCACAGCAAAGCAGACAGGTGGACCAGATGCTGCATTTATCAAGGACTCTCTCAGGAGGATGAGAAATTCTTGCTTTGAATAGGCCTCCCCAAGGTAGATACATTTCTTAACTGAAAGAATGTACCTCTTCTAAATGGAACTCATTTTCTTTTTTTAATGTCTTTAGGAGAACTACAAAGAGAACAAAGAACTAGAAGGCCCCTTCCCCCTTGCAAAGCAGCTGACTGACTTTTCAGTCTGCCCGTGGATCCCCCTAATTCTAAACTGAAAAAGTGCTCAGCGAAAGAACACCAACAGAAAGATTATAAAATAAATGACATAATTTCAACTGAAAATCCATCACATAACAAAACTAATGGGTTGTCTAAATGCAGTAATTAACATTACTGCCTAGTTGTTAAATACCCATTAGAAAGAAAGCGATCTCATTTCTGACTTTAACTTTAAAATCCCCACTGCACTAAAAAATATACAAATATATAGAGAGAAAGAAAGGAGAAGTGTTTAGCTGGAGTAAGAATTAGTAGTTCAAGGCCAATTAAAATGTGGACATATTTATTTAGGTACTGCATAAAAACAATGGAAGCCTCAGCGACTCTGTGAAACCCTTTCTGGAGGCATTTAATCACCAGCCACGGAAGAGCCTGGTGGGCCAGCTGCCTCCTGCCTGGCGGGGTCCCCCTTCCCCTGCTCAGAGTAGCTGCCTTGGCAGTTCTGCAGTCCCTCACCAGGGGGTTCCCCTCACCCTTCACCTGCCCATCCTGGCTGGCCCTGAGAGGCTCCTCTGGCCTGCTGCAGGGCCAGAGAGGAAGCAGCAGGCTGACAGAGCTAATTAGAGCTGATTGCCCTTCAATCCAAAACTTGATCTTGACCACTGACACAACTTTTCCAGCCCTCTCTGAACCTCCAGCACACCCAAATGCAGGTGTTCAGAAATGCATACCAGGAAACCCGTCTACCCATGGCTGCCACCAGGTCAAAGACTCGGGCTCCCTTCTTTCTGGTCCTTGGCTCTGCAAAGCTAAATTTACATTGGCATGGCCATCTCGGGTTCTTTGTGGAGAGCAGTGGACAGGGAGGTAAGGGGTCAGGACAGCTTTGTCAAAGCACCCAAAGAGGAACGCAGCAGGCGCAACCCAGGCCGAGACCTCTCCTGAGGAGCTCTCCCCAGCAAGTGCACCCCAAACCTCAGAGCCTCAAGTCCTCTCCCCATTGCTGCTATCATTCATACCCTTCTATTCCAGGCAAGTAGAATCCTTTTCCACGTCTGGGACTTTCTCTCCCTTCTTCAGTCCCTAAGCCTGAAGGATCTACACAGCCCTCCCACTTACAAAGACTACTGCTTCCTCCAAGAGAGCATCTTAGCTTCTGTCTTCCCAGAAAAAGCTTTCTTCACTCTCTCTCATCCACACCTGAGCCCCACTTTCTCCATGCCCGGTGCTATCTTCTGGGTTAAGAGGTCTCGTCTCTCTGGTAGTTAATCACCCCATTTTGTGGCAATTCCCCTTCGTTTCTCGCAACTATTGACGGTCTCCTTGGTTATTTCCTATTTTCAAAATCCAGTATAGTTCTAAAGGGAAAAGCCTAAAAGATCACAGAGTCACATTAAAATACTGTTTTCAACAGATCAAAAAAGGTCAAACATCAGCGGTGTGGTAACTCATTATTTATAGAGGGGCTTGACAAATGCTCTCAAGTAAGAAGGTCCTCTGGTCCCCTTTCTCTGGACAGTGCTTACAGCATATCTTCCTAAGACACATTAAAAAACCCTCTCCAAACTGATGAAAGGGTTTAGACCTTTTTACAAGTGTCGCTAAAGTATAAAAAAATAAAATAGCCTGATGTCATGTAACTAAAATAATAAAACAATGCTATGGAAGCTCTAAAAAAGCAGCCATAAAGGAGCCTGCAGGTTGGACAACTCAGTCTTGAACTTACCTTCTTCTGTCGGATTAAATCCACAGATGTCACAAATACAACGAACCCACTTATTCATCTCCTCCTCGCTGTCTGCTACCAAGTAGAAAATTCGGTCAATGGTGTTGATATCAAAAATGTAGCTGTTTTCAAATTCTTTTTTGTTAAATGTCAATCCAGCGTCAACTTGTTGGCATAAATTTAAATCAATGATACGGATGGGCTTCTTGGCATGGTCATTTTTGTAATATTCCAAGACATCTGGGTCTCCAGTCAGACGGCCGCTGCGGAGCACGAACCATCTCCTCTTCCATGCCTAGAACAAAAGCACATTCTCCATTTAGTATTAAGTGGAGAGAAGTCATCCAAGGAGATGCACACTTATCACACCAAGTTTACAAAGGCATCCTCTAGACAAAGCCAGTGTTTTCTTTGTTTTCATTGAATGCCGTCACTTCTGAAAAGCGAGGTTTACTGCTGTCTCAGTTAACTTAATAATGTGTTTTTTATTACATCTTCTATTAGAAGCTAGTGACTGGTATTAGAAGACACTGATGAGGACAGCAAGCCAACAAACCAGAGAAGGTTCAGTTTTTACGAAACATAAAAAAAAAGCAGTGGCTTCAATAAAGAATGCTTGCGCGGGGGGAAGTGCGCAAAGGTTAAAGCACAGCACTGTGAAGCTATCCATAGCCACTGCAGCACAAGTTCGATCCTTAGCCAGGGAGCTGATCCACATGGCGCGGCAGACCTCTCCTGACCCACCCACTGCTGCCCTCAGCAGTGTATTTCAGTCCATCTGTCTGTTCTGCTCCCCGCTCTGTCTCTGGTGAATCCTCTCCCAACACCCCACCCCAGCATCTCTGGCCTGTACTCCAGTTCTTATTCATACATAAATACATCTTTAAAAAACAATAAAGGATGTTGGGAAAACTGGATGTCTGCATGCAACAGAATGAAGTCAAACTCTTAGCATACAAAACCATATACAATTAAAATGAACCAAAGACGTAAACATAAGAGCCAAAGCTATAAAACTCTGAGGGAGAAAAACACAGAGAAAAGCTTCTTAACAATGAGCTTGGCAATGATCTATTTCTTGGCTGTGTCACCAAGAAGAAACTATAGGTGAACTGGACTAAGTTCAAATGTACAAGTCTTACACACCGAAGCACACTCAGCAGTGTGAAAAAGGCAACTCACAGATTGGGACAAAGTATTTACAAATCATATATGTGACAATATATGTGATATATGTGGCAAGTGATTAGTATCTGGAATATATATATTCTGTAGCTCAGGAACCATTAAAAAAAACAACAATTAAAAACAGAGGAGAAGGGGTCACCATTAACTACATGAAAAGATGTTCAACAGCACTATCATTGCAGACACAAAGCATGTGGCTTTTCCCTTGATGATAACGTGGAGTGACAAAGGCATTATGCTTAGGGTGTTTTCAGAAAGGTTATCAGAGTAGAGGATGAGTTTGGTGTGCTCCACACCAGTCTACTTAGACCAAGAATGCTCGTGACGTTGGTCCTGTAACAGACCGATTTCCCTCAAAACATGAGTTCTGTATCATCGCATACCTATCATTCTGTTCACTTTTTTAAAAAGGAAAATCTACTAAACTTTTAATCACCAAAAGCAAAACTAGGATGATATGGTAAGGCCTCTGTTTTTATGTTTTACAAACTTTGCCAAGTATAACACAAAGGCACTAGAAACTGCTTCATTTTATCCTGCAAATACATGTGAACAGAGAGAAAAGAGTATTAACAAAAACCCACATACAGTTCTCCAACTGTATGTACCCCATCTTAGCCTCCATCTTCAAGAAATTTTATCATAAATTTTGACATGAATTAATGTGGACTTGAAGTTTTCTGATGAAGGGGCCAGGGAGAGAGGACAGTGGTCTGAGGCAGAGAAAGAAAATGAAAACTAACGGGTCTGAGTGGCTCATAAACCAGATATCTAATCTTTAATGACTGGGACAACTCTACCGATAACTGAGTTAACTTGGGTGATAACATTAGATTTAACATGCTAATAGTTTCTTTAAATTGTATACATTCAAGAAAATGTATAAAACTTAAGAAGTAACTCAAGGAGTTGGCCAGTCGCTACGTTCCTGATTATACTGCTAATACTGTGCTAGGTACTTTGTGGGAAGAAATGTAAACATGTAATTCATGATTCTAGCCCTCAAGGAATTTACTCATGATGATGAAAATATTTATGTACACAAAGATACTTGAAACAACAGCACCCTGGCACATATCAGCAGAACTACTGCTAAATGAATAGGTACTCCTCCTGGAAGCTTTGAGTAATCCTTTAAATAAGATTACTAGAAAAATCACAATGGCCTAAAATCATACTGTTTTTTAATATCGTCGAAATTTTTAACAAACTTCTCAGTGGATTCAGCTCAGAGGAAAAGTAAATCCTTGGTCTCCCATCCAAGTACTAACCAGGCCCGACCCTGCTTAGCTTCCGAGATCAGACGAGATCGGGCGGGTTCAGGGTGGTATGGCCACAGACAGAAAAGTAAATGCTTGGTATCCAGAAGTCAATGTGGCATTTCATGGCGGTGTCACAGAAGATACTGAGGTGTGAAGTTTCTAAGTGTTATGTTGACATGAATTTAGCACTGGTTTCTGGTTACAAAAATCCATTTCATTAGCAGGTAACTATCTAAGACTTCAAAGCCAACACTGTCTCTTAATGAAATTATGCCTTTACAGATAATCTCATTATCGAGCTATGTGCTTGAAAAATAAGTAAAGGGAAAGAGAAGCCATAGTATATCATTTATCCAGAGCCATCAAGGAATCGCATCTTTTAGTAAGTGATTGTTCCAGATCAGGAAGATTCCATCTTTAAATACAGAAATGGCTTTTTAAAAGTTTAATGTCATGCATGGAAATATTTCTAAAATGCCTTACTACATAATTCATTAAGCATAATTCATCCATTCCCCAATGACACAGACTAAGTATTGCAGGCATCAATTTTTCTGCTTCACTCCAGCGAGGCCCCTGCACCACTGGGGTTGTGAGGAGCATCACCGGTTCTCACCCCAACAGCGATACCGCTCTGCTTCCGTCGTTCCGCAGAATCTTCTACGGCTGTCATTCTTCTCAAGTTTTAGCAGTTGTCACTTCTCCCTTCTTACAATGTGGCTTCGAAGGACACCCAGTTACGTCCCACCACAGGGACCTGCCACGCGCAGCTTCTTGAGTCCACTGTGTCCTGCCCTCCAGACGACCCAGCGGAGTCTGTCCTCGGGTCTTCTATGCTCAATGCGACCATCCACCATAAAGCAGAGCATGGTTTCAGGTTGCCCGTTACTTATCTATGCCATCATCTGACAATTCAGTTTTTCTTTGCATTTATTTATTGAGTATGGAATTCCCCTAATAGACAGTAAAGATAAAAAAGATAATGCCTGTGTGTTTTATTTGCCATCCATACTGATGTATCAGCCCAGTGGCTGGGATATAGAATATTTAGACAACCAATAGACTTCTGCTAAGACTGTAAAGTTGTGACATTTTTGAGAACCTTAACTACATGGACCACGCAGAATAGGAAGATGCACTTTTGAAAAACATCATCCACTTGAGGAAAAGAGCGCCAGTTCTGGACCTCTGCGTAATAAAGCAACATGACTAAGCTTCCCCAAGACACGTGCCCTTGGGAAGAAGGAGAAACAGAAGCGAACGTGTCTTCCTGCTACACTGTATGTGTCACTCTGTGTCTCCTGGTTAACTGTGGCACCCCCATCCATTTCTCTGCGTCCCTGATGGAAGGACAGTGAAAATTTAAAAGACCCTCGGAAACGAACATAATCATGAAATAAGTAGCGACAGGCTTAGGTGCACGACAAAAGACGGGCCGGTGATTCCAGAGGCCGAGCAGACACTACACAAGAACGAAGCCTTCCAGCAGGAAACTGCAGCATGAAAACACCGAACTTAGCCAACGAGCACCTGCCACTTATTTATTTATTTTTTGCACGGTCCAAATGTGCATGTTTGTCTCGGTCACAAAATGAGTCACTCTCATTGAATCTGGCACAGATTAAACTGGAAAACAAAAGCAATTACATAAACTACACACTTTCATAAGGCAGATACAAAGGTTCTCTGGATTACGGCACAAAGCACAATTTAGCCACAGATACAGCTTGATGCTTGACAGGAGAACTGACATCAGCTTCCTCGCTAATCACAGCACAAAAGCTTCTCTATGTTTTGTCAGCACACAAAACGGGCCCACATAAATCAGTCTTTGTTATCTGAAAATATCTGGGATTCTTAAAGTTTGTCCTATTTTTATCCCTGCTGACTCGGTTGCCCCAGAGAAAGCTATCCACGGCCTTCCCAGTCCCGTGAAGCAGCCCAGACAAAAGAGACAAGTCTTCCAGAAACCTTCAAAAGCCAATACTCAGTGTAATTTGAAACAAAATTCATGTGCAAAACCATGTGAGCTACTGGACTTCCATCACCAGCAGATCTGCTCGAAAGGAACTGTGCAACATTTATGCCGCCGACATTTTTTTCTAAGTCACAGGCACCTCCCATGTCAAGCTGACCAAGCGATGCCCTAATAAGACTCCATCAACAGGTGCCTGTTGAGGAAGCTTAAAAGCCACTCTCAGACAGTGGCGCCTCCTCCCGGTCACGGATTCATGCGGCTGCTGCTTAACCACCCAGAAACGTGTCAGGTTCACACTGCCAACTCGACATCCGCGTTGTTTGCCGATTCTGCACCCCATTTACCAGATTCCCTAGATCCAGGGAGTAGCTCTGCCTGAAGATGGAACCCAGACCACAGAGGCTGCAAACCCTTCCCAACATCTCCCGACCTTGGCAATGCACTGGCTGCCTTACTGCTCTGCTCCGCCCGCCTCTGGCCCTGCCACATGCTGCCCGAGGGCACAGCACTCACCCTGGATTCAGCGCCCACCTCCAGGGGCACCGTCCGGTGCTCCAGTTCTCCATTTCCACTTCATTCCCAGTTCCGTGGTTGACGCCCCTCGAGTGAGTCTCGAGGGCTGGGACCATCCGTGTTTCTCACCCATCACCCTCTGCCCCCCTCGCCTGGCCTCAGGGGGGCACTCAGTCACTGCTGCTTATACCACACCCAGGAGCAAGGATGAAAGACCAGCTTGTCACACTTAGCCTGGCATTAGGGAGTCCTCACACCACCCCAATCCGCCCAGCCCTCCTGCAACCTGCTGACAAGAACTGTCAGGCAAGGAAGAGATGAGACTGCCATAAACGAATTTAAAATTCCAGGTGG